CTCTTTTCCGTCCATAGAACTAATAGGAAGCTGCTATTCCGCCTTCTACCACTTTTTTTTCTTAGGTCAAGAAAAGTTCAGGAAAGGAGTGGGGGAGGCAGGGAACAGTTTGCAAAGCACTTTTGAAACCTTTTTTCCCAACGAAGCTAATTTTAAAGCATGTTTTAAAGCATGTTGTGCTGATTTTTTCAGCACAAAGACACACAGGCAGGAGTCTGGAACTCACACCTCAGCCTTTTTAGGTGCTGAGCAAGCCTTGGGAAGCCTCTTCAGAGTCAGCTGATCAGCTGTTAGGTGGGGAGAGGAGCACAAAATGGCTGCCAGGCTCCCTGCTGGGTGTTGGCTTTTAGCTGTTTGCTGCTCTTTTTCTTGCAGTTAGGGGGCTACCGAGGCCTGGTAAGTGACTTTCTTTTATTTATTTTTAAGTTTCTGACCCTTTTTTCCCCTCCAGAAGCCTCTAAGGGGAGGGAGGGGGCACTTTTTTTCCTGTGCGTAACTCGAGGGAAGTTCGTATGTCGAGTCCTTATTTCTCTATCGGGCGGATTCGTAAGTTGAATTGTTCGCAAGTAGGGTCGTTCGTAAGTCAATACCCCACTGTATTTTCCATGGTAAGAAAATGGACAGTGATGTTAGCCAAAAAATGAAGGAGAGTTATGAGTAGAGGATAGCATTGCCTGAATGAGGTAGAGCAGTAGTTGTGTTAAAGTTTTTATTTTAGATCTGCATAACTGTTCTGTGACTTGTAGCTTCTGTGGTCAGTATGTCCTTGATGACCCACAATGCTAAGATTGCAACCTGGGCAAACACTCCTATCTGTATGTAGAGCGATGTTCTCTTTATGACTCCCTGAGTCAAAACCCAAATGTAAAGGTTTACTGTATTTTCCCATTAATAGCACATTGTTTTTTTCACAGTGAACAAGGAAATTGGTGAGCCCACGTAAACCACTCTGAGATTCAAACTAGTAGATAAAACAAACCCTGTCTACCAGAGAGCCTTCTCTTCCACAGAAACACTTCTGCAGTATTCTTACTGTTCCTTCCGTGAAGTCATTCACCTTTGAATCTTCCAATAAAAACAAACTTGGTGTCTTCTTACTGACACGTTTCCATGTCTTCTGTTATTAATTCAAAATTCTTTGCATTCCTAAGCAGAATATAGTCCTGTTGACTTGGCATTGGATGTGTGTGGTAAAATGTAGCTAAAACTGCTAATAATAATGCTCTGTCGTTGTCTACCACATTTATGCATGGATCATGTGAAAAAGAAACATAAAATAGACAATTTCTAAAAGGTCACTTGATCAGTTAATGGGCCTAACACATAGACATTGTAGTCCTTTGGCTCATTTGCAGTCTCATGTAGTTTCCCCTTAATTGACCATTGTCAACACCTGTACTTTTGAATTAGTAAATTGTGTCGTAAAGCAGTCTTTTCAATCTTGCTGTCTAGCTCTTGAGTGTTCGCAGGTGAAAGACTGTCTTCTACTCTTGGACAGCTCTGTGGTGTTGGGGGTCTCTCTGATACTCTCTTATACTCTAGAGTTGCTTCAGTTGAAGTTAACTTGCAGCTGTGGAGGAAAAGTGCCCCCCTAAACAAGTCAGGGTGGGAGAATTCAGCTCACCATACATGCACAACCCGATGAAATTTCTCATTCCTGACTTAATGTAATTGTCCAAACAGTTAAAATTGTTTTATACAGTGATGCCTCGCTTAGTGATTGCCTCGTTTAACAATGTATTCGCTTAGCGATGAGGTTTTTGGAGCGATCTTGTGCTCCGTTTAATGATGTTTCCTATGGGGAAATTTCGCATAGCGATGTTTGGGACCTTGCTTCGCTTAGCGATGACAGTTTAGGTCCCCCTGTTTCGCTTAGCGATTTTCGCTTAAGGACGGTAATCCATTCCCATTTGAACGGATTATCCGGTTTTCAATGCATTCCTATGGGAAATGGTGTTTTGCTTAGCAATGTTTTCCCATAGCGATGTTGTTTTTGGAACCAATTAACATCGCTAAGCGAGGCACCACTGTATATGCAAACAGATTTGTTTAACATACTCTGAAGTGGTGCAGTTGTTTTAGATTATCAACCAGTCTCTGAGTAAACATTCTGGCCAAAATCCAGTTTTTAGTTCCAGTTGGAGTAATACCCATTAAATCATTGGCTAAATGACAAGTTAGAGTTTACGTAAACCCCAGTCAGTGGGTCTACTCTAGTTAGGATTAAGAATTAGATTTATGCTTCTCAGTGAAATCTCTCAACCTCCCCCTGCCATCACTTCTGTTAAATAAAGTTGAAATAAGATGTGTTAAGTTTTTCCTTTACCAACATTAGTTGCATTCCTAAATCCATGTACTTTGGATAGAGTTCAATTGAACTCTTGATAATTTAAGCATGCTTATTTAATAATACAGAACTATTGTTGTATTGTAAATTAATATAGCTAAAAACTGCAGTTTCTGCTAGCCGAGAATTAATTGCAAGACACCAAGTCTACCAGTAAATTGCTTTTGACTTGCTGAATTTAATGAGGCTATTGCAGCCTCTTTTTCTACTTAATTGTGTCAAAGGTTGATATATACAAGTTGGAAAATGGGTACAATCAATTTGCGAGCCCTGTAAAGCAGTGCCAGTTTTCTTATATAACACAGTTGTCTCCTGGCATTGCAAGTCTGTCTTCTCTGCTTTGTGTTGATAAGAGAATAATAACAGTTGGTTTAAATGCTCTGGTTCACACACAGCAGTTGCTTTTGAACAAATCAACATTCTGGGGCTTCTCATGAGCCTGCTTACACAGAAGACCATGGAAAAGGCAGTGGTCTGTTTTTCTTGTTCCCAGTGCATAACTGTGAGTAATAAAAACTCCAGGTTCGGTCCAAGCCTGAAAACCAATAAGTAAATGGGTTTGTTGCCGTTTTCATAATCAAATGGCAGAAGTGAAACTCGTTAGGAATGAATCTGATTAAACTGCTTGGGAAAAGAAAAAAATATGTTAGAATAACAGTAGATTGGTTGCCAGAGAAAGTGTACCGATACCACTAGTAACAAAACCGTCTTCCTGGTAGCCCCAACTATACAGCACCAATGAGTGCCTCTGGAGAAAGGCTGGGAAATAAGAACTTAAGTTTTGGGTAGCTGCACATAGAGAGACCAGTCTGTCTTATGGGCATCTTAGTCCCAAGCTGTAAAGGACTTTGTTGATCAAACTGTGTTGCCGAGTTGGAACGTGACCGGCCGAGTCCCAGCTAGAAATCTTGCCGTTTCATTCTGAAGTGAAAGAAACTTCCAGAGCTTCTCAAAAGCAGCAGCTTGTTCCAAATACGAGGTTACCAAGATATGGATAAGTGACTCCATATTTCCCCTGTCCAGGCAGAGGTCTCTATAGGAAAGTAGATGGTGTTGAATATGAGTATATAGTGTACATTCATCAGTATTTGGAGGTTGGGGACAGTTCCTTCAATTAACTTGTGTAGCAATCTGCTCTCCTTTTTTCTGAAGTCTTTAAAATAGAGTTAGGGTGGCATTTGATGAAGACATCTTGGTTGTAATGTATTGTCAGAACTCTGTATATTTTTCCATGGATGCTAAAATGCTACAGCAGTCAATCTCACGGCAACATCAAGTCCTCACATATACTTGAAAGGGACTTTAAATTCCTTATTGCAACAAAGTCTGGGAGTTTCCACAGGACATGAAGCAACTGAAAGGAGGAACATCTCTTCCTTGCAACTCCTGAGCCCTCCTTGTAGCAGGATTTGAACAGAAATAGGTAGTTCCTGTGCTAGACTAGCTGTCTTTTTAAACTAGGAACCCTCCAGATGTGTCAGATTTACAGTGCTCAACATCTCTAGCTAGGATCAGAGGGCAGTTGTAGTCCAGTGATTGGAAGGGACAACGGAGCCAGTGCCGGCGGCAGACAGGTGAGTGCACCTGTGCAGGGGTATTCGTATACAAATACGAATTGCCCCCATCTCTACCAAGGCCTGAACCACATTTTTGTTCTTGAACAGGGATTATATTTCTAGGGGAGCCATTGTGGTGGGTAGGTGGGGCTCGTCAGCCATGGAAGGAAGCCAATCTAGGAGAAGGAAAACTCTGATTTCAAACCTCCACTGCCTTGTGGCTATATCCACTCATGAAAAAGGCTTCAGGAGTTAACCTAGAGGCAAAATCCGGAGCTGGAGTCCCGAAGGCAGCATGTGTCGTTCTGCCAACTCCTGCGACGTTGCTGGAACCAGCTGCATTGGCTCTTGCCTTTCCATTTGATCATTTCAGCAACGCGGAGAGGGGGGATCTGCTGCTTGGGTAACAGCCTATCCTCCATATTACTTTACCCAGGCTTCATGCTCTGGAGAGGCCACTCTTCGATTCAGAGCATGTTACCATAGTCTCTCGAGACTGAAGGATGCCTATGCATTGTGGTGTAGTGGATAGACTAGGATGCAGAAGACCTGGGTTCAAATTGATGCTCGGGCATAGAAACACCGGGGGTAGAGCTTCTTAAATACAGTATCTCGTATACCTTGAAAATCCTATCAAGTTTGTTCTAAGGCAGCTCCATTTTGGCACATTTATTTCCAATAAGCAAGGGCTAAAGGGGATAAATGGCTCCCCCTTCCACTAGTTTGCCTGTTAACAAGATGCAAAACAGGCAACAGGAGCTGCCTCCCTGTACTCTGTAATAAAGACCATGACTGAGATATATGAACTTTAATACTTCTTCAGAAAGCCACATTAAACCCTTACATCAGGATCTCAGAAAATAGGCTTGCTGGAGCATTTTGTTTTACTCTTTCTACACCCAAGGATGTTGCAGACTTGACGTGCCTGCCATAAATGCTTAGGGGTGCATGTTTGTGTTGTTGTGGAAGATCAGAACCCTCTACAATCACCCTGATTTGTTTAATGACTCAACCTTTGCAACTCTCCAAACATATCATTTCGCTGTGTTGGAGACCGAAACACTAGGTAGTAAATTTCCCTCTTCTTGTCCCAACAGCTTGTACAATGAAGACAGGAATTTGCTCCGCATCCAAGCAAAAGAGAGGAGGAATCAGGAAGCTCACCAAGAAAGAGAGACATTCCCTGCAAATATCCCACTCTTTGGAGAACCTTACAAGGTAACTCTGCCACCTCTTGTTAGGTTGCAAGGCAGACTGTGCACAACATAGCCAAGAGTCCTTGCCCTGTCAAACAGATGATCTCTAGGGCAGCCACTGTGGCTGCCTGTGATGTCTTGCTCCAGTTATGGGTTTGAAGACCCTTTCTCCACATTGACTTCCCCAACATGCTGTAGATGTTTTGGACTATAGGATCACTGGCCATGTTGGCCAGTTGAGATGGAAACTGCAGGTGTGATACTTGATGTTCTCCCTTGCCCTTTAGAACAGAGGTGGGCCATGGTCTAGCCCAGACATTATGTGCAACCCCCTCTGCCCCTACAGCCCTCCCCTTGATTCTTTTTGGGGGGGGAAGAGAAAGGTGACCCACTACTCCCAGAAGCCTCAAGAATTGGTAATTCATCTTTTAAATAAATTCCACCTCCTCACACCATTTAACACGCCGTAGTAGCCATTTGTCAAATCTGGAAGTAGACTTCCAGTCACCTTTTGCTCTCCTGCCCCCACTCTCAGGAGCACAAGGGGACCGTTTTTGTCATTTATGATTCTTTTAAGAGATCCTATGGGCAGAAAAATTGGTCCCTTGGGCCCACTCCGGTTTCCAATCTGTTTTAGGGACAAAACTGTTTTACTTCAGGACATACAAATGAAAATGTGCAGAGGCCTACAACACAATGGCAGAGCATGCATTTCGCCTGTAAATGTCCCAGATTCAATCTCGCTATTTCCAAATTAAGTTATCACTTGTAACAGGGCATAGAAAAATATTTTGATCTGTTACTGCTAAGCTATGCTGAGTGAGTTAGAAATCACCGAAAAGCAAAAAAAGCAAAGCATGCTGCTTATATATCGCCCCATAGTGCTTCAAGCACTCTCTGGGCAGTTTACAAGTTAATTATGCAGGCTACACATTGCCCCCCCCCCCCAGCAAGCTGGGTACTTATTTTACTGACCTTGGAAGAATAGAAGGCTGAGTCAACCTTGAGTCGGCTACCTGGGATTGAACTCTGGGTCTAGAGCACAGTTTTGGCTGTGGTACAGCAGTTTTTCCAGTGGGTAGATAAGTGTTGGGACTTTAAAATACCCCAAACACTTGGCTTTTATTATTTTGAATTGAATTTTAAATAAACCATTTATTTATTTAACATAACTTCACTGCATTTATTGAAATGCCTGAGACATATTCAGTTATTTGTATTTTGGTTTTACTTAAGGAGCTCCCCTCCCTTCTACATCTTTTGGCAGCTACTGTACTATGTAAAGAGAAATGTCTGGATGTGGCTTGGGTCCTTTCAGCTCTGTTAATAGCAAAATCTTTTTAGAAGCTGAAGATGCCCTTCATAATTTGTGGGCCTATTTGTATTTGCTGCATTGTGTGACAGCCTTGAAGAATTGCTCCAAATTGATGTTATTTCACTTCTTGAAAAAGTTTGAGTAATGGGAGCCTTTGCTGCTAATTGATTAGCAAGATCACTTAATAGTTTAGTTAGCTGGCTATGGAGCCAGAGGCTGGGAATTTGATTCCCTGCTGTGCCTCCAGGTAAAAGAGCCAGCCTGTGTGGCCTTGGGCAAGCTGCACAGTCTCAAGTGCCCCCAGAAGATGGGAATGGTACACCACGCCTGAGTATTCTCTACCTGAAAAAGCCTGAAAAGGATTGCCATAGGGCAGAATTGACTCGACAGAACATGATTATTTTTCTCTCTTAATGGGATCTACGAGTTTCATCCTTCCTCCACATGTCATTTTTTTACCAATCGTTCCTGCATTTCAGTTCTTTCCCTCTCTTCCACTCTGTGGTGTCTCATTACCTGTTTCAGATCCACAAAGCAGATGAGCTGTCCAACCGACTTCAGAAAATGTTTGGCAATTATGAAGAGATGAAGGAGCTCATTGGGATGCCCAGCAGTGTCATGTCCCTGATCTCTCCGCACAAGCCAGGTCGCCCACTGTTCCCTGACAAGACCAGCAACGTCTTACCCCCCTCATTCCACAACAGCAGCCATCCTTACAAGCCCTTGGGACCGCTTCCTGCCGGCGCTCCTCCTGCAGGTAACCCAGCTCACTACCAAAAGGCTCACCCGAAGCTTGAGCCGACCTTGCAAAGTGGTGGGATGTCCAGCAGCCAGAGACGAGGACAGGAGCAGAGCAGCAGCAAGACTCAGGAAGTCCCGAGTAACAGGCACCAGCAGAAAAGTGAAAGAAGCATTGAAGAAGATATTGCACGTGAGGTGCAGGCCTCCCTTTTGGAACTTTCCCCCTTGCTGTCGAGCTTGTCTTCCCCGGTAGGACCTTTGTCACCTTTACATTCCAGCCAGCGTGTCAATTCCAGGCCTTGCAGCAGCAGCAACAACAACAACAACAAAAACCACGGGCAGAAAAGCACTCCTGCTCAAGAGCTGGTGGCTGGGCGTCAATTCCAGGCCTTGCAGCAGCAGCAGCAGCAGCAACAACAACAAAAACCACGGGCAGAAAAGCACTCCTGCTCAAGAGCTGGTGGCTGGGGCGTGTGATAACGAGACTCGGGATGGTTTGACCTCCGCTGCGGCTCCTGCTGCCCAGCCTTCCAGCCAGACGTTTCCATCATCCCTGTCATCAAAACCCAGTGCAATACAGCAGAAACCAACTGCCTACGTTAGACCAATGGATGGTCAAGATCAGGCACCAGATGAGTCCCCGGAACTCAAGCCACTTCCCAAGGAATACCGTGAACCATCCTATGGGAAAATAACCAGCTTAAAAGCCAATCCCAAGACCAACTTGCCTAAATTGAAAATACCTGCCGAACCACTTGAGGTTGGTAAAATTACTTTGCTTTTTTGGGGGCGTGGCGGTGTTGTTTGACTTCTGGTCTGCAGCAAAAGCGATAGTTGTATTTATTTCTTCTGATTTAGTGGAGGGGTGGCCATAACAAGTAGAAAAGTGATCATTAGTTATTTTTAATAGAGTCATCAAAGCTGAATATATGTATTTATTTGATTTAGTGGAGGGGTGGCCGTAACAACAAGTAGTAAAGGGATCATTAGTTATTTTTTAATAGAGTCATCAAAGCTGAATATATTGCACAAACTATGCTGATTGTAATGAAATTCTGTGGACTTAGAACATACAGTGGTGCCTCGCTAGACGGTTACCTCTCAAAACGGTTTATTCACAAGACGATGGGTTTTTGCGATCGCTATAGTGCTTCGCAAAACGGTTTTTCCCTATGGGTGATTTTCGCTAGACGATGTCTCGGTCCATGCTTCGCAAGATGGGTTTTTTTTTCGGGACCATTTTTTGCAAGACAACGATTTTGACAGCCGAGTCCGCGCTTTGCAAAATGTTTTTTTTAGGGACGGTTTTTTGCAAGACGACGATTTTGACAGCCGAGTCCGTGCTTCGCAAAATGTTTTTTTTTAGGGATGGTTTTTTGCAAGACGCCGATTTTGACAGCTTCACAAGACGGTTTTCCTATGGGCGATTTTCGCAAGACAATGATTTTTCCCCATTGGAGCGCATTAAATGGATTTCAATGCATTCCAATGGGGAACCGCATTTCGCACGACAATGTTTTCACAAGACGGCGATTTTCGTGGAACGAATTAACATCGTCTTGTGAGGCACCACTGTACTGCTATTCATGGTAAGCCTCGGATGTTCACTTTTCCATTCATAAGTGTCTTGTGGCTTTCTAAGCATTCAAGCTAATATTCAATAAGCTGCTCACTTGTTTTCTGCCTCTATCTAAGAGCTTAGAATTCATCTTGAGGCAGTCAAAGGCAATAGTCCCTGGTGCATCATCTTTTCCTTTCAGTCACTGGAACTGCCAAGTTCCAGGTGAGGACCCTGCACTGTCTACATCATTTTCTGGCAGAGGTTCTGGAACTTTGGGTCCTTGTCAGGAGAAGTCCTCCTGCTGGAAACTGGAAATCTGTGCAGCAGGAGTAAGATTTGGAGGCAAGTAAAGTGCAGGCAGAGGGACTTCAGTAGAATAGAGGTGAGCACAGCTGGGTTTCATTCTGTTCACCAGAATTTACGAAGTCTTTATCATCTTATATAAGCACCTTCCCTCCATGTCTGCCAAGCATTTTATGGTGAAGAGCAGCCAAAAGTGGTCCAAAGGTAGAGTTTCAATTACACTACCCTAGGTTCGTATTTTGTTTAGTGTGTGATATTGGGTATTTTGTTTTATGTGTGATGTTTGGTTTTGGAGAAGAGTTTGGTGTGCCTTTTCTGGTAATCAGCACTATGTATCTGTAGTTAGGCAGCAGTAGTTCTGTATTGATTAGTCTAAAACAGGAGTCCGGGGTTTCGCTTTAATGCACTGTTAGGAGAACCAAGCACCGAAGAATGAAAATCTGAATGAATAATTTTTACAATCAGATCAAATATTTCTGGTTTTGCATTTTTATTTAGAACACTCGCTTCCCAACTTAGTCTCAAAAACTGAACCCACCAAAGGAAGCTAAGATAGCAGTGCATTCTCGAAGGCTTTCTCAGCCAGGATCTGCTGCTTGCTGTGGGTTTTTTGGGCTCTTTGGCTGTGTTCTGAAGGTTGTTCTTCCTGACGTTTCGCCAGTCTCTTTGGCCGGCATCTTCAGAGGACCGGAGTAGGAACTCTGTCCATGCTCTGTTGCTGTTTGTTGGAAAGTTGAAAAATACTGAAAAATACAGCTTGCAAGAGGTCAACGAACTCTACCCAGCCACAAGGACCAGGCATCATTGCACAAAAAATACCAGCTAACGAAACCCATCAATCACAGTGACAGATAATCTCTCCCCCTTATCACAACAAAAACATGCTGATCACCCTATCTCCTGAAAAGGACAAAAACTGTTCCCACAGCTATAAATACTCAACTATCCAACAAACAGCAACAGAGCATGGACAGAGTTCCTACTCCAGTCCTCTGAAGACGCCGGCCACAGAGACTGAAGAACAACCTTCAGAACACGGCCAAAGAGCCCGAAAAACCCACAACAAGTAAGATAGCAGATTAAACGCTATTATAAAATAGTTACGCTACAAAGGAAAAATCGCAGAATAAAAACAAAAACAGAGACCAGAAAAGGGGAGGGGGGCCCCCGCAGGCTTGAATCATTATCAAATTGTCCTGCCAAAACAAAAATATTTTCAGTTACTGATATAACACCATGAGGGAAAAGGTCAGAGCAATTCTTGTCTTTGGGAAGCTGAAAGAAAGCCCTTTCTTTCATTATTTGTCCAGATAATAGGTTTAGAATGATGTCAGTGTCCAATAGAATTTGCTGCTGTTGAGTCCTAAAGCCATTAGGATTTTTTTCTCTACTGTTCTTGAAAGCCACAGGAAAAAAAAATGCTGTGTCTCCACTGTGATTCCCTTGACATCATTTCTTTTCTCAAATATGGACTGGCTCATTTAGTGTTCAAGGGCTGTGCGTTACCTGCAGCTGTGAAGTAATTGCTGGCAACCTCTGCTCATGGCAGCACTAAGGAGTTAAGCCTTTTCATTTAACAGAGGACTTGGCTTTCCTTTAGAGTCAGTTAATCCACTGTGAGTGACTATGTAATGACTCATTTTGCATTAAAACTGCATTTATACAAGTATTTCTGATGATGCAAATTTTATTGTCACCGGCATCAGTATTCAAGTAGCCAGTCAGGACTCGTCCTCCACACTGTTCAATTACAGTAAATAAGTAATAAGGAACACTTCAAAAGAGAGACAGAGAAAGAAAGAGAATAATTTGAATTTTTGATAGTCCTCTTTTGACATTTTAAAATGCAGCTTTGATTTTTGTGTGTTCTGACAACAAGTGAAAATATTGCTTCAAGATGAGCTAGCAATGTTTATGTTATAAATATGACTTGAAGACTATGTTAGTTTCATAACTGCTCTGATGAGAGAATGGGAACTTCATGTCCCTATTAAATAGCTGCTGTGATCACAGAACAGTACATGTAACTTAACAAAATTATATGTTTATTTAATATTTGAACTTTGTTTTCGATTTAATCAAGCAGGTCAGCCAGTTGGTCTCACTGCATTTGTATAAACATGGCAGACTTCTGTTAACCAGTTAGGACATACAGTGGTGCCTCGCTTAACGATGTTAATTCGTTCTAGCGAAATCGCTGTAGAGCAAAAACATCGTAAAGTGAAATAAAAAAGCCCATTGAAATGCATTGAAAACCGTTCAATGCGTTCCAATGGGCTGAAAACTCACTGTCCAGCGAAGATCCTCCATAGGGGCAGCCATTTTTTGTGGCTGTAGAGCAAGGAATCTGTCTAAAAACACAGCGAGGAGCCATTTTGAGCACCTGGCGGCCATTTTGAAAACCCAACGATCAGCTGTTTTGATTGTCGTAATGCGAAGAATCGGTTCCCGAAGCAGGGAACCAATCTTCGCAAAGCGAAAAAACCTCATTTAAAACATTGTTTTGTGATCGCAATTGCAATCGCAAAAAAATTGTCGTAAAGTGGATTCGGCGTTATACAGGGCAATCGTTAAGCGGAGCACGGCTGTATATGGGACAGGGGTGTGGGAGGAAGACACCAACCAAGCAAGAAGCTCTAGTGCTACTCCAAGTGAAAACTGTATTTTCTCCAGGCATATATATTACAAGCCCACAAATGTGGATAGGATGGTCCTACATGTATCTGACTTCTGGAAGTTCCCTGCTCCTTATGTATATTTTATGGCCATGTTCTGTCTGTAACGCCTCAGAATGTAGACCCATAGCATTAAAAAAAATTAGCATTTGGAGATAATTTAAATCTGACACCCTTGCTGAAAGAAAGAGGTTTTATGGCCCAGAGGTTTCTTTTTCAGTCAGAGTGAGTTCTGCCTGCAAGAAGCTTATTTTTCCTTGTTATATTTATTGAGCACTTCATGGGACTTGTTGAAATACTAGGTGGGTAATGGAAGATTCAAGTATAACAACACTGTTGTGTTACCACAAGGCATCTAATTTTAGGACACTTGAAACAGACTTGCTCAGTTTTTGCCAGATTATGTCACATAGTATAAATGGGGAGGTGGTCTATGCTGAGATCAGAGTAGGGAATGTGTAGTTTTCCAGATGTTGAACTAAGCTGCATCACCACTGGTGAAGGATGGTGGGAGTTGCAGTCTAACAACATCTGGAGGGCCACAGATTCATCTTCCCTGGTCTGTTATTCATGCAGTAAGGGCTTGGGCATTCCACAAACAAGCCACATTCCCTGCTTTGTCTTTCTTGTATTTACTGTTCAATACAGCTTAAGGCTTGTGTTGTTCTGGCCTGCCATAAGCAATCCATATCAGTGGCAGGCTCTGTCGCGCCTGGAGGAGCATATCTAATTTGTATGGGGAATTGTGTCAAGTGGTACAGTTCTTGAGTGGGAAACATGCCACAGGGAAGCTGATCTCCTTCACAAGTATAACGTCTACACTGTTTCTGTGCTGGAGCAGATGTAACGGGTAGAAAGAAGCTTACGCTGTTAAGGTGCTGTTCTTGGGATCTGAGCATCTTAAGTGTAACTATAGTCCAGAAAAGTTAGTTTTTTTAAAAAAAGGAAATGGGGGTGGGGTTTAAGCAGCCTTGCTTGTCCAACACCTAGCAGGTATGCTAGACTGCAGGTTCCATCACCCGCCAGCCAGAATGGGCAAGAGTGATGAGGATTTCTGGATACACCGTGTGAAGGGTGTCCCATTGATGAAGCCTGATCTGCTTCATGGATTGCTATAACATGCTGTATGTGGGGCTGCTTCTCGAAAGTGTCCTGAAACATCAGCAGGTCCAAAATGTGATAACCTGATTGCAAACTGGGGCTAGTTACAGGGATCACATA